AGATCTATATCTTTGCATAACCTCTGGTCTTTTCTACATTATTTTTACCCAGAGACATATCACAAGTCTGCTTTTCCCATCTTACATAATTTTAACAACAGTATATGTATTATTGTCATAAAATGTAATATCTTCTTGCTCGTTAGTTACAACTACCTTTAGCTAGACCAGGGCTCTACTCATGGGGTTTATACATGTTCTAGCTCATTTCAAGTGAGTTGAATCACTTTGAAGGTCTGGAAACATTTTTCTAAATGTCCTCTTAACCAACCAGCCAGCCCAAACTGTGTACCTTACCTAGAAGCTCTGCTGGAAGAAGGAATCAATTATGCATAGCAGTATAACACAATACCATATCAGGTCTTCTCTCTCATTAGATGAGTAAGAAGAGGTGATTTTGCATGTTCCAGACTGTTACAGTGCAGGGTATACTGGCGGAGAAAATGAATGGCAATGTTAGGAGATGCAGACAAAAGGAAGTGGGATGAAATTACAGAAAGTTAATGGAGGAGAAAGGGTCAGGTTGTCTATGGGAATCAGACTAGCCATGGAAAAGGGAGAATATCAGGTGACTAGACTGGCTCTTTTAGTAGCCAGAAATAATGCAACATCACATGTAGGAGGACCCTGAACTTATAAGCCCAGCTGTGATTTGTAAGGGAGAGAGCTTGACTCAAAAGAAAGCATCCAGGGAGGTCAGTAAATGTCAGCATGTTTGGGGCATTAGTGACACAACATGTAAGATTGCACCCTTGAAGATGCAAATATTTGATGTCATCTATTTCTTTGTAACATTTTCAGGTTTGCTTTCATTTTTACCACCACACAACCCTGGAGTACAATGTCAACACAGATAATTCTTTCAAAACTATCCCTTTCAAAAGAATAGTGTGTTGTTATCCAAGGTGATAGGTCTCAATGCACTAGAGAAAATAGTCAGGGGTGTGGATTTAGACCACATAAAATGAAATAAGCAATGTCTTTTCACTTTTGCAAATGATATATTACAAACAGGAAAGTGCTAGACATAATATTTGAAAAGTATTTAATATAGAATAACAATTTTTTTATTAAATAAGATATATATAATATGAGGATACTTATATCAGACATATTTTACTGGTTCTATGCAGCCAGCCCGGTCAGTTTTCCAGTACATGATGTCTTAAAAGTATGTCAGATAATAAATAGCAGTAAGATTTTTTAATGACAGGTATTTCCTCAAAGCTGGGAGTCCGAATACTTTATTTGCCTTTCAAAACTGTAAACCCTACATTTTTCTGATTATTTTCTCCTTCATTTTAATTCCTTGAACAGTGAGTGCAAATGAAGGATGCTGGACTGGCCTTGTGGATTGTGATGTTCTTTAAGAACTGCAGGATAAGTAAAAGCACACAGAATGCAGTCTGTAAAGTGACATGAACAGTTTGCCTCAAACTTGACATGGTTGGGATCACACACTTCCTTAGTCATCCCGCACTGTGCAGGCAGTTACTGCTGATGTTGAGGTTTGACATGTTGATGGACAACAACTGCAATTATCAGCCTACAGGCTGATATATCATGTTAAATTCCAGACCACCCCCACCCACCCTCTGGTCATGACAGCAGGATGCTGAGCATTTCTCCTACTTTTTTATTACTTAGTTTTCTTATCTATTCCATGAACATTAATGAAAGGTTAAATCTTGCCAATTTTATTTTATTTATATTTAAGTCAGTGGGGTTGTTTGCATGACTAATGACACATGGAAGAGACCCCTGATAAGAAATAAACCATATAATTAAACTGACTTTGTTTCCAGAGATATGCCTGCCTAGAGAAAAGCCACTAATGTTAAATATCCTTTAGTGTAGGAAACGTAATAAACATCAGGAAGGTTTGAGTTCAAGAGGAAATAGCTGGAATCAGGATATTTTAAGAGACTCATAAATTTCTGAGTGTAAAACACCTGCAGTGTGCACAACATCATTTCAGCTACTCCTTTCATGAACACAAAGGATCATGCAGTCTGGACTGGGTGTAATGTGAGTGCTAATGTTTTGATATCTACTGGTAACCTAAGGCTGAAGATTTTACGTTGGTTTTTCATGCAGTGATGCAGCTTTGTGCTTAAGGCTATCACTCGCAGAGTAGGATTCGGCCTAAAGCAGAAGACTGAGAGTGCAGAGCTTGAAGTTTCCCTCAGCCAGTAGGAAATTTCAGGCATGGACATGAGTTTTAAGGTATTCCCCTTGCATCCTATCACCAGATATCTGAGAGAGGTGACGGCACTTTCCCCCTCCACTCCTTATCATGAGGAAGTTTTAGGTAGCAATGAGGTCTCATCTAAGCTGAACAAACCAAGTATTTTAAGCCACACCTCATCACTGATGCCCTGTAGTCTTTCCATCATTTTTATGTGTTGGAAAGTTGACACATTCCAATATTTTTATATGGTTGGCCCTTTTTTCCACCAGAGTACATGGTTGAGTCATATTGAGCTTACTATCAACCAAAAATGCTATTTCCCTTCCCACAGCTGCACTCCAGCCTCTTGCTCCCAGTCTATATATAAAAGAATATTAGAATTATAGAATCATAGAACAATTTAGGTTGGAAAAGACCTCGGAGATCATCAAGTTCGCCCTTTAACCTAGCACCACCGTGGTGTTTTCTAAACCATGTTCCCAGGTAGCACATTGACATGCTTTTCGAAGTTTCAGGGATGATAATTTTAACCCTTCCATAGACAGCTTCTTTCAATGACTGACTATCCTTTCAGTGAAGAATATTAAGTTAGTAAGATATGGCTTTCCTGTCACGAACCCATGCTTTTGGGCTTTGACTCTAGGTGCTTACACCCTTAGGTAGGCACTGAGCAGAGATTTTGAGTTTTTTCCATGCAAAACACATTGGATAAGTGCTTAAAGGGACATGTCTGAGAAGTCCAATCCATTAAATTAGACTTCTTAAGGTGAAGCTTTTCTTAACTTCATTCTTCCCATCCATTTAAGACTCTCTATCTGATTCTCTGGTTATTCACTGCAAACAGTTTTACAAATGTAAATAAATTTGGCCACAAAATGCTGCAGAGTCTAGGGTGCAAATATCAGCAGGTGAAGGATCACAGAAGACCAACACCTTTGCAGTGAAATATGGTTCCTGCTGAGTGTGCTGTAACCACTAGACTTCTACATACAGCAATTTTGTTTGTGTGTTTAAATTACAGAATAAAGTTTTACTGCTGCTTGTTAAGTGCTGATGACAAAGAATAGAAGAATCTGCCTCTGAAGAAGCTTCTGGGCTTTAAAAGAGAGTTCTCTTAGAAACACTTAATTTGAAGATTGTTTCTAATTATATATTGTTTTCTGAGTTTTACTTTCCTGCCCTTACATTTTACTATTAGGACATTTATGTGAATGCCAGATCTTATTTTCTTAAGTGATCATCTGCTCTTGCTACTTACTCTCCTTGTGAAATCTCAATCCTTTGTATTGTCAGAGCACAATAATTTCTGTGGCACCCAGCTGTGATGTCACATCCAGGTGCTTATGATTTCAAGAGCTGTTTTGCTTTTAAATACACAGTTCATCTCTTGTATGCAAATATCCCTTGTCCACATAAATACTGCAATTAACTTGGGACAGAAAAATGGGAACAATACTATATCTGGCCAGAATACTTATCAAAGGTTTCTGTGAGATAGTGGCAACTTTTTAATATTCTTTTAACATAGTTTGATTCTAATTCTGGATTTTAATTACCTTCTGTGCCAAAAGATGAAAGAACCTTATTTTAGTAGTTGATTAACAATGTGAAAGTTTTGTATCTTCATAAAGTCTCAGGAGAGCCTTGGAGTTGTATTTTCTGCCTTGCTGTCTCTCCTGAAATAAGGACAACTATTACATTTCCTTTGAGCTTGTGGAGCTTTTAATCCCCTGGCACTTGGGCCCTCTCTGGAAGAAGAGGTGGGAGAGTTGCTCCTTCAGTTCCTTGTCAAACTGTGGCTGTTCTTTGTAAACAGTAAGAACAAAACCAGAAATTAAAAACCAAACAAACAAAAAAAATTACAGGCTTTTTGCTTGTGCTCCATTAGTGCTCCTGGCTTGGTGTCCATATGAGGAAAAAAAACTTACTTTAGAAATTCAGGGTATTCATTAATGCTGCATTAGGGACTTCATACAGAGGAGGTGCACTCTGCCAAAGGTGCCTCCTCAGACAGCGGGTGCTTGGATGGCCAGGTAGGATTTGACAGTGACCTCCAACCACAGGATGAGGCACCAGGTCAGGCCTTTTAGAACAGAAAGCATAGGCTTCAGCACATTCATGTGTTTAGAAAAGAGAGAGCTTTTAAAATTAAAATAGCAAGGACAGTCTAGCAGGCTTAATAAATTTCAACACTGTGCTCTATCTTTCATAGTTACTCAAGCACCCTTCTGAAGCCCAGGCATGTGACATGACTTGTAAAACACATGACAAAGATAACAGAATGAAGAGCAGAGAAAGAAGCCTTAAACAATGTGGCATATACTTCTCTGGTATTCACCAAGATTCTATCTCCTCTCCTCCTTTTAAAGGCTTTTGAATATCAATGATTTACCATAGCAAAAATAAGATGGTATTAGCCTAGGAGAGATCAGAAAGAGAAAGGTGAGGAATGAGCAGTATGTCAGAGGAAAGCTAAAAGATCTGCTGAAGTCAGTGTGAATTGCCCAGGACCAGGATTTCAAAACAATTGTACTTGTCCTGCAAGTAAATTCCCTTTCACCTCCTGAATTTTGTAGTCTTCAGCTCCAGATCTGAAAGCTGTACTGAAAGCTGAAGGCTGCACATGGATGTAGCTGGCAGGTAAAGTATGTCTCCAAATTCGAACAAGCTGATAAACAAAATCACCCTGCACAACACAAAGAAACCTCCAAGGGGCATGCCTTTGAATAAAGTACTTAATGATAAGAACCTCCCCCACCTCCCTGCTTTGTCTTTAATTTGTTTAACCTCTGTATGCTGTCTATTGCAGGAGTGATTCGGGAGAGTTACCTGAAAGGTCATGATCAGCTGGTGCCAGTCACCCTGTTGGCCATTGCTGTTATTCTTGCTTTTGTCATGGGGGCCATCTTTTCGGGAATCATAGTGTACTGCATCTGCGACCACCGCCGCAGAGATATGGCTGTTGTGCAGAGAAAGGAGAAGGAGCTGACCCACTCCCGCCGTGGCTCCATGAGCAGTGTTTCCAAGCTCAGTGGGCTCTTTGGGGATGCTCAGTCCAAGGAGCCAAAGCCTGAAGCTATCCTCACACCTCTGATGCACAATGGCAAGCTGGCTACCCCGGGCAGCACTGCCAAGATGCTAATCAAAGCTGACCAGCACCATCTGGACCTGGCTGCCCTGCCAACCCCTGAGTCCACCCCAACCCTGCAGCAGAAGAGAAAGCCCAGCCGAGGCAGTAGGGAATGGGAAAGAAACCAGAACCTCATCAATGCCTGCACAAAAGATATCCCCTCCATGGCCTCGCCAGTGATACCAACCGACCTGCCGCTCAGGGCTTCTCCCAGCCACATCCCCAGTGTTGTGGTCCTGCCCATAGCCCAGCAAGGCTACCAGCACGAGTATGTTGACCAGCCAAAAATGAGCGACGGGGCTCAGATGTCCGTGGAGGACCAGAATGCCACTCTTGAGTACAAAACTATCAAGGACCACCTCAGTAGCAAAAGCCCCAGCCATGGAGTTAACTTGGTGGAAAATCTCGACAGCATGCCACCGAAAGTCCCCCAGCGGGAGGCTTCCCTGGGACCCCCAGGCACCTCGCTGTCACAGAGCGGGCTGAGCAAGCGGCTGGAGATGCACCCCTCTGCTTACAACGTGGACTACAAGAGAAGCTACCCCACAAACTCACTCACGAGAAGTCATCAGGCATCAACCCTCAAAAGAAACAACACTAACTCCTCCAACTCGTCCCACCTGTCCCGCAATCAGAGCTTCAGCCGGGGTGACAACCCGCCACCGGCCCCGCAGCGAGTGGACTCCATACAGGTCCACGCTGCTCAGGCACAGGCTGTGACTGTATCCCGGCAGCCGAGCCTCACTACCTACAACTCACTGACGAGGTCAGGCTTGAAACGCACGCCCTCGCTAAAGCCAGACGTACCTCCCAAACCTTCCTTTGCTCCGCTTTCCACGTCCATGAAGCCCAACGATGCGTGCACATAATCAGAGGGGGAGGGTGAGTGGGAGGAGGATGGCAATTAAGCAGAAGTTGCCCTTGAAAGCCACTGTTCTGCAACTGTTATCACTCGCTCCTCTGAGAAGATGGTTGTTGCAAGCTGAAGATGTGTTGGATTTCTGCTCTCTGGGAAAAGTGGAATATTTTTTTAAACCCGAGCCATATGACCCATGGTTGAAGGTTTGCAATTGCAGGATTCACCCCCACAACCTGCCAGTTCTTTGCTCAAAAGACTAACCCTCCATCAAAAACATTGAGCCAAAAGCACACAGGTGAAAGTGACTGTGACATTTCACCCCCTGCCCCTAACTGCACAGTGCATTCCTGAACTGGGAAAGAGTGCTCTGAAAAGCAAAACAAATGTAAAAAACATACAAATGTTAAAAAAAAAAAAAAAAAAAAAAAAGAAAGAAAAAAAAAAAAAAAAAAAAAAAAAAAAAAAATTTTTACAAAAGGAAGAAAAAAATTTTAAAAATCAATTGATAAAGCTAACTCTGACTTAACAATGGCAGAGGTTTACCACTACCAGGTACTGTGAAATTATGCCCTTCAGTGTTACAGTCATTTGGTCATAGCAGTTAAATGCCGGCTTGGGCGAACTATGTCATAGATTTCTGCTACTCTTGTCTTTTAATGAATAACATGTGACTGTTAACTCAAGTAACTCCTCTTATTTATTGTTCAACTTTTATTTTTCTTAAGGAACTGACCTTCATTATCATCCCACGAGCAGCTTTTCAGAGAAGTACCTTGAAAGTTATACCTATTTAACATGAAACCCATTAACTGGAGTAATTAGAACTCTTTTATTTTTCCAATAAATTCACTGAGTTAGATAAGTTGGAGCTGGATTTCTGAACTTTGTGCCTGGACTGCCTGGTTAGCTGAACAAAAAAGGGGATATCTATTTAAGTCTCTCAGCTAATTAGCTGGCTGGGCCTCTGACCTAAGACAGCAACAAATACCGCAAGTTCATAACTTCTAAAGCAGCTGCAAGAGAAACTTAAAAGCTGCACATCTGTGCAACATTGCTATCAACATGGCTTTGTCAGTAGCTAATACTTTCTGTGAAGGCACCAGCTTGTGATGTGCCATCTCATTTCACCTTGCATGTGAGACGGCAAACAAAATCCTCAAACAGTGTGAACTAGCTAATATGCCGGCTGTTACCATGCATAAATTATGGTCTTATCACACGGGTTTTTCGTGGGAATATATCTGTGAATAGCCTGTTTTCTTCCACATGTAAATTTGTGCCTTACACCCTCAGTTGTGTATATTTGTGAGCTGTAGTATGTAAAACCTTTTTCTTTTTCCCCTTTGAGTAATGCAAATATTTATTGATTCTTCCTCCTCCAAGCCCCTTCAAAAACTGGAGTAAAGACATTGAAAGAAGAATGTGGTGGTTATTTTCATAACCCTCACATCCCTAAAGAAATTAGGCTAGCACCATACCCTCCAAATTTGACTTTCTAGCTGTGCCAAGTCCTCTCTCAAAGCCACCCACAGGTGGTGGTTGTGCTCCCAAGGCACCGTGCTGGGGGTTCTGCCTTCCCCCACCTCCCGCTCCCTTTTTACAGCATGTCAGCGTGGAGATCGTTCTCACTGGCAGCAGGAAAATGACTAACACCCTTGTCCATGGAGCTGGTACATCCCCTGGCTGGGGACAGCACTGGTGAGAGGGGCCAAGCCCTGCAGAAAGCCCAGCCACACATCCTGCAGCATGCAGGGCACATGGAGCTAGGACAGGCAGGCAGGCTCCTGCTGTAGCTACCTGCTGCTCCAGAAGGATGCTGCATATACTTCTTTGGGGAAAAACGTGGGTTTTGGTTTTTTTTCCTTTGTTCTTTTGTGTGACTGTGCATGTAGCTAGTGTGGGAGTGTGCGTGCGCACAGGTGTGTGCGTGTGTGTGCGCGCGCAGGTGTGCAAGTTCCTTTCCAGTCTTTCAGTTTATGCAAAAACGTAGCTGTGTTTTTAATCTGTTACAATAACTGTGTCAACATACTGTAGAAAAATGATGGGGATCGCTTCTAAGCTTTTTATATATATATATATATATATATATCTACTGAACAGTATGTTTGAGTAAGGTGGTTGTTTCTGTTTCAATTTGTTTTTTAAAATTTTATACTTCCATTTGTTTTTCAGGGTTTTGGTTTTGTTTCTGAATGATTGAAAAGACAGATTTTAAGTCCACTAGCTTATAGATGGTATATATAAGGTCTGGATGGTCTACACCAAAGTGTGTAACAAGGGTGCTTGCATGTTCTTTCATTTCATCATGGCTTCTTTTATGAAACAGTTTTGTTCACCCGTAGTGAACTATGCAGACTGGAGTAGATAGATCTGTATCCAAAGCAATGTTGTTGTTTTAATAAAAACAAACTGAAAACCCTTTGAAAACAGCAGGGAGCAAGGTAATTTTTCTTTTCAAGAACCAACTCAACACCTTTTTACCAAGCTCCAACCCCTGAAGCAGGGTTCCCTTGATATTATCCCTCAACACGTTCTCCCAAAACACAGAGATGGATAATCATGGCAACAGCTTGTGCAGCGATCTGCCTTCACAAAGTACAGCACAGTTACTGGGTTGACCTTGAAATGTTCATTTTGTATTCAGTGGGTCTTCTGTTTTCATCCTTTCCCAACCCCAGTTCTCTTCCACCCTCTGTTTTGAGGGGTTCGTGAACCTATGTGTGCCTTTGCTTTCCACCCTTGCTATACACTCGTAGATGCAACAAATTCAGACTCTCATTTGTTGTAAAGTTGTAAAGTATTGTGATGTCACCAGTTTCCCTTCATTTCCACATCCCCCTAACATATGATTCACAACTTAATGTCGGTTGTAAAAGAAAAAAAAAAGGCAGGAAAGGAAAAGAAAAAGGAGGAGAGATGGGAAATAAAAGCTCTTGATTACATATGGTAATAAAACCAGACTGTTCTACCTTGTTTCTTGTTTCCTGGTTCTCTTGTTTCTAGACAATTTATCCTTTTCCTTTAAAAAATACAAATAAATGCAATGCTGATCATTTAGATCAGGTTATAGTAAGGAAGACATTTGTTACTTTTTACCACTTACAGAAGACAGGATTTAGTGTAAGGTGCTGGTAATTAATTAAAAGTTAAATCACACGTTTGCTCTCCCTCTATTCATATTTTGCATTTAGCTTTTATAAGCTTGTTGATCATCAAATATTTATGACACACTTAATAGTTTAAAAGAGCAAGGCCGGGATTTAAGAACATGTGGTCCACCAAAATAGATCATCATACAGATGTGACTTCATCTCCAGATTTTACATATTAATAGCAGAGTAACCTGTATTTTCTTTCAGAAGGCATAAATCTGTTGTGCTTCACAGGCCTGATTTAGAGGATGTTGTCTGAGACTTATTCTGCAAGAAAATAGTAGTGAACAGATAATAACAGAAAAGTGTAGAAGTAATGACTCCCTTGTCCTGGGAGTCACTGGAACATACCTGGGTTCTTCACCTTGATTTTCTGTAAATGGGATCACTTATGCACAGCTATTAACTACAGTACAAATAAACATTGGTTGTGTCCATTACTAGGCTTAGTGGACTTGTTTTGTGAGAGGAGTGGGCATTGTGAAATGTGACCCCATAGATAAAAGGGATCTAATCCAGTAATTTATCCTTGCTCAGATCATATTTGGGCTTTTCTGCCCTGCAAGTACACTCTGTTCAGGACCTATTGCCTTCATGATACATGCCGCATATGTGACACATAAATGCAGAGCATTGCACACAACATTTTTCAGTGCCTTGCCTACATACCTGCCTGGTTTTTTCTCAGTGTGGGCTCGCTTCAAGCTGGGCACACTGGCATGCAGATGTGTGGTGTGCACACAGGGAGAATGCCTGCCAGGCCTGGGACATGCCCCAGGTAATGCTGATGAGCTCTCCAGCCTGGGGACCGAGGGCAGTGCACAGTTACACAGTGCTCCACTCTGCTGCATTTGACCTGCATGCTGCCAGAGCTGCACCAAATGGGAAAGCAAAAGCTCTCCAGGTGTTTAGGGACCTGTGTATTTTTCAGTCCTGCAGCCAATCCTTTGTGAAATTCCTCTATCTATTCTTCTGTTTGAAATGCTTTGTATAAGCAGCACCTACAGAAGATATTCAATGATTAATATACCTCTTTTTTAAAATTAATATAAATGTTCCTCCATAAGTCATGATAAGCCTGGAGAAAAGGGCCCAATAGTGCCCGGTGCAGTGCTGGATGTCTCATTTTGCACAGCTCCTCCATCTCTTGCCAGTGGAAGTCCATTTAAAACATAGCATGAAGGAGGGAGGGCAAGAATGTGCCCTGATGAACAAGCTGTTTGGGGTCTGCAACTGCTCTGTTCATGCATCCAAAACCTGCTGCCAAAGGGAAGGTTTGTACTTAGCCTCTTAAAGCACTGTTCCCTTACTTCCCCAAAGGTGCACTTCAAGATGGCAAGTATGGGTCCTCTGACAGAGACCTGCATTACCTTCTGCTGGGCAGGAAGGATCAGAGAGGAACTGAAGGAAACTCATTGTCCCAGTGGGGTCTCAGCCAGCCAAGCAGAGTGCAGGTACCCACAGCAGCACCCTGCCAAGGAATGGTTCCTCCACTGAGAACACACAGCTTGCCACCCAGAAGAGGCAGTGACACTGTGGTGGCTTCTGACAGGGGAGGAGACCACTGAGCTACTCACTGTCTATTTGAATCATGGGATCTGTCCCCTACAGGGGCTGCTGGTGCCACACTGCAGAAGCTCCCTGGGGCTGAACAGGACAAACAAGAAAGCCAAGAGAAAGCGAGGATGCTTTGAGCACTTCACTCAAGTTAGTGTCATCTTATTAATCATATTAATGGTACTCATATTGACCTCATTTAGTCTTGTCATCAAGGATGCATGTGAGTTCCAATCAGCATTAATTTGCGTACATATTTTTGCACAAGATGGATCTCAGCTGAACGACTCAAAACAGTAGGTCTCTGCAAATAAATCCTGGTCCACTGCCCAGTTCTTCCCCTCTACCTCCACCAGACATACATTTCAAACTACACGAGAGTAGTTTCAAAGATAACTTCAAATCCTGCCCCACTGTAGCAGGGAGTCAGGGAAACACATCAGGGAATATTTTTTACCTGAAAGTTCCCCATGTGAAAAAAGATGAGGCAATCAGGTCAAGCATGTGCAGTTTCAGGACACTTTGCTGCCAGCAGGATGGCTGGTTTGCATGGAAAGGGCTGCCAGAACAGTAATGCATCAGCACTAACAGTAACACATGATCCAGATGATGGCCAGACAAATTTCAGGGATGCAATTCCAATAATTCTGCCACAGAATTAGCAGGCTGTTCTATCCCTGGATTAGGCATGGATTTTTGCTCCCTAAAGCTTGTTTATAAAGCTTGTTTAAAGCAATGTGGAAGACATGTGGTGGTCTTATCCACCCCACTGCACTGAGGCAGGATCAAGCAAACCTAACCCATTCTTGATGACTGATTGTCTTACCCTTTCCTTGTAAACATATTTTATTCTGAGCAGTGAAACTCACCCAAGGGATAAATATCAAGCATTTCAGAGTGTCTAAAGAAAATAATAAGCTAAGAAAGTTAGTTGGACTGCCTTAGTTAAGGCCAGTTTTCTATTTATCCAATTAAAGTTAATTTCCCAGTAGTATGGCACCTGCTCCAATGAACAAGTGTTAGAGAGACACATTGTCTGTGTAATATTCATATGCTTCCTGCTGATGCATGTGTCTGCTAATGAGTCTCTAAGTAGTCTTTTTATTACGCTTTTCCCTTTCTTTTAAAAAGTGGGGATACTTTTCAGAATAAGTACTAAGTTCGTCTTCACATGCCTTGTGCAGAGCAATGATGTGTTAGACATATTTTTATGAATAGAAAGAGGTAAATAGTCATATATCCCCTGACTGTAATTTAAACAGTGTAAGTCAGTAGGGAAAAGCTATAATTGGAGTCAGAGTAAGTGAGGTGAAAATTGCTAGGTGGCAGTACCATCTGCATCTTGTTTTAATTAGCCAAGTTTATTGTCAGAATATAAAACTTTCTGCTATTCAAGTCCCTGGCTTATTTCAGCCATCAGTCCAAAGTGATTGCCACATGTCTGGGTAAGCGCAATTACTGATCAGCAAAGGAAAATTACCCTCCCCACTGATCTGGCTAACAGTAACCATGTCTAGAAGTAGGGACAAAAATATGACTAACCAAGATCATTGTCACATCTGCTTAGTGTTTCATGACAAACTCTATTAAGGCTAACAGAACCACTGCTAATTCAATTAGACCAGTGTTTTCCTTTGCTGGCCATGATGCATTTGGAAGACCAGCAACTGTATGCACAGCGTGGCAGGCAGTCCACTGCAAGGAATAATAGCACCATAAATAATATATTAAGACGAAGACAAATCTAGCATGCTGCAGTCAGAGCACATCAGGCTTATAGATGAATCCTGCAATATCACAAGGAGGTGGGGGAGGAAGAAAGTAGCTATGACAGCAACTGTAAATGACAGGGACTACAGGAGGGAAAAAAACTCATTAGGTCAGCTCTTTAAGTAAAGTGCTGGGGAAGCATAGGACAGCCTGCTGGCAGCCATGGGGACCCTGTGAGCCCTCATATTAATCCTCCTTAAAATGAAATAGCAAACATCGACTGCTGGATTTAAAGGAAGATGATAAATAATGGAAGATAACTGGCAAAGACCTCAGTGGAAACTCACGCCTTTCTCTGGCCTGCAAGCCCTGCCCCGGTATTCAGGGCTTTCAGCCTCTCTGCAGAGCAGGCTGGGATGGTTGCACTCTCCAGAGCCCCTCCTACACAGCAAAGCCTCCCAGCTGAGGCTGAGGCACTGCCCAGTTTTGGGAAGCGCCTTGCACAGCCTGCGGGAGTGGCAGGCACAGGTGGCTCAAAGCAGATGAGCCCTTTGTTCCAGCCACCGGAGCCGGGCTAGCAGGTGGCCCACATGGCTAGCCCACATCAGAACTGGGCACCACAGCCCTCACTGCAAGCAAGAGATTGTGGAAATCCTGTTCAAGCCTTGTCCATGTTCACAGGAAAAGAAACCAAACCACACTTTTGCTTCAGGGAACAGTAAAAGGTGCTGATGAGAGCTTCCTAAAGCAGTTTCTGCCTTTTGGGAGGGTTTTCTTTGCATTTTTTTTCTATATATCTATACAGCCTTGTGCTAGAGAAAGGCGATATATGTCAGAAAAAAAAAAAAAAAAAGAAAAAGAAAAAGAAAATGACAACTAGAATATTTTTTTCCTCTGACTTCTGGAAATTATTACATATTCTTATCAATTCTCAACAAATACAATCTAAAATACTCAGACTTCTGATAGAAATATTGCTTCTGATAGTGCAGCAAACTGCAGATTGAGCTTTTATTAAATGCTGCCTAAATTGTCTGTGAAGCAACCTTTTACAAGATGTGGTGGTTCAAACAATTTTACAAAGAGCAGGAGACAAAGAGTTCCTTTTACACTATAATGGTTTCCTAGGCAACACTGCAAAATGTAACATGATATCTCTTTGTGGAAGTTCAAGGACTTGTGTGTGCTAGTGTGTGTTTCTCCTGACCCTCTTTTTTTTTTCCTTTTCTTGGAAAAAAAGTGGTGTACGGTATTGCTGGCCAATTTTACCTTTTGATGGTAGCACAAGAATAGAATAGACCTGTACCACAGCAACCCACAATCTGAAGGACATTTTCCTCTTTGATAATCAAATCTCTTCTCTAAACAGAAAAGAAGAATGTTGATATAGACCGAGTCTTTTTATCTATATCACTGTGGTTTCACAATAAGGAAAAAACAATGACTGCAAATGACCAGAGCCAATTTTCAGGTTTCAGATAGTCCTCATGGCTGACCCAGGGTATTTTCTTATCTCTGTGGAGCCTACAGTATACAACAAATACTTATGGGATTAAAGCAGATATCGACAGCCTGCAAAGCTATCCAAAACTACTCAGAATCTGGACATGTGTCTGATCTTGCTCAATTAAAGGTAATAATCCACCCATCTGAGACAAACACTTTGCTCTTCCCCATGTGCAAGCAGTGTGTCCCCAGAAATGCAAAATTCCTAACCAGGACAACTCAGCTGTTTATCCAAACAGGAGGTAACTGTCTGAATTTACCTGGCTGCATGCTTTTTCATTAGTTGTCCTACTCTCATAGATGCTAATAGTCATGTAGCATTAGATGCACTTCCTGTACATGCTGAAGACTGCAGAAATGTTGATGTATAAAACACTTTGCCCCAGCCATAGCTGTTCTCAAGACCTCAATATGCTGAAGTCCCTAGCTAGACAATACATGACCCTATGCAGTGCTGCTGCTGCGTCTGTCATCCTCCCAGCTGCAGTCTGGGCACTCCAACCCATAAAATTCTGCCCAGAACAATGTCCAGTTACAAAAGCATACAGGCCCAAGTGCAAAATCACTACAGCACTGCATACAAGGCAACAGAGCCAGACAGACAGGGCCAAAGCCCCAGCATGGCTCAAAGCAGAAACACTCCATTTCTTGCAGGATATTTTAC